CCCGCAGGTGTCGCCGTTCTCCGCGGTCAAGTGCAACAGCAGCTCCTGGGTGCTGCGTGTCCTGGCCGCCCTGGGCACCGGCTTCGACTGCGCCAGCCAGGTGAGCCTGTGGGCCCAGCACGGCCTAGGGTAGAAGGCCGGTGGTCGGGGTCCTTGGGCGGGGGCTCCAGCAGCCGGGACTGAGCTGGCCTGGGTCGTACTCGGTTGCTGCTGAAGGGATGAACGAACTGGCCATGGCCGGCCTCCCCTCAGCCATGCGTCTCGGCAGCTGGAGCCAGAACAGAAGGCTCGGGGCCGCATCCCTGTCTAGCTCTGCCTATCACCTTTCTGAGCCTGTTTTGTCTCTAAAATGGGCCAGAGAGACTTCCTGGAACGGTGCCTGGTGCACAGCAGGGCTTCAGTAGAGGCAGCCCCTTTGGCCCACGCCCAGGGTTCCTGTCCCCAAAGAGTATGGGGGTGCGGGTGGGCCTGGCACAGTCCCCAGCTCCGCCTCTTGGCTTGTCAGGGAGAGCTGGAGCAGGTGCTGGGCCTGGGCGTGGCCCCCTCGCGCATCATCTTCGCCAACCCCTGCAAGCCTGTCTCCCACATCCAGTACGCTGCCTGCCACGGGGTGCGGCTCCTGACCTTCGACAGTGAGGAGGAGCTTAGCAAGGTGGCCCGGCACCACCCCGGGGCCAGGTGAGACAGGCAGGGTGTGCGCGGGTGGAGGCAGCTAGGGCTAGGGGCTCCGGCAGATGGAGCTGGGTCGCAGCCCCAGACTCAGTGGCTGGCTGTCCTGAGGAACTAAATGCGGTGAGTGGGGAGCAGCAGGGGGCTGGGGAGGGGTGGAAAGTGTTCAGACTTAGGGGCTCATGTGCTCAAGGCTGCCTTCCTGTCCCCCACCCCCAGGCTGGTCCTCCGGCTGTGGACCCAGGACAGAGAGAGCACCTTCCCCCTGAGCATCAAGTTTGGGGCCAGACTCGAGGATTGTGAGCACCTGCTCAAATCTGCCAGGGACCTGGGGGTGGCCGTGGTTGGGGCCAGGTGAGTCGGCACGGCTTCCCCTGGCTGAGTGGCAAAAGTCCTGGCTCCTGCTGCCAATCCCAGCCTTTGACTTGCTGTGTGCCCTGGAGCAGCTGTAGCCTCTCTGGCTTCATGAGGCCCGTCTGCTCAGAGCACAGCTGGCTGTTACCTGGGACTAGAGTGAGGCAGGGGGGCGCCGACATCAGGTGCAGAATTGAAGGGGACACCAGAAGCATACCTAGAAAAATAGGATGTTAATGCAGTGTTTGCAAAAACAAAACTGTATGCAGAAACATCCATGATGGGGGACCAGCAGTAATGGCTATGTTGCTGGACTCTCATGTAGTCGACTGTGTTCGAGTCCCGGACCCAGAGGCTTAAACTCATGCCAGGAGCATGTGCGTGCGTGCCCAAGATCCCGAGAGGAGAATGGAGGAGAAGGGATTGCAGCGTGGCCAACCTCCCTGGGGGGTGATTTCTCGCTTTCTGTCTCTCTCTTTCTGGCAAGTGCACATGCCCTATAGCAAAAACCTCTAAAAAAAAGAAAAAGAAAAAAGAAACATCCGTGATGGAAGAAAGTGTCATTTAAAAATAAAGGCAGCGTAGGAGTGCTGTCCCCCGCCTGCCCTCAGGACCAGTCGCTGCCGCCCACCTGGTCTTTATTTATAGTGTGAATCTTTGGCTCTTGGTGGGTGTCTCTGCCCTGATTTGGCTTTTGAAGAGATTGCATGAGTGTTACTTATCCCCACTCCTTCGTGCTCCGGCGCCCCAGTCCCGCCCGCGGAGCACACCTCGGCCGGAGTGCTCTCTCAGCCCGCCCTGCTCGGGGGCACGGGGACTCGGGGTTCTGACGACACACACTCCCAGGGGACAAGCAAGGGAGCCCTGCAGTGGTGGCCCTAGGAGAGGTGACAGCCACACCCCTTGGCCCCCTGTCCAGCACTGTCACGTGCGTCTCTGGGGACACCCATGTGTGTCGAGGTGTCTGTAACTGGGCCCACGTTCCCGGAGGGCCACTCCTCAGGCTGACCTTGTGTTTCCACGTGTTTCTCCCCGGGTCTCTCGTCATGTGCTCAGCTTCCACGTGGGCTCCGACTGCCAGACGCCCCAGAGCTTCCGGCAGGCCATTGCGGACTGCCGGCACGTGTTTGAGATGGGCCGCAGGGCCGGGCATGACATGAGCGTCCTGGACATTGGCGGGGGCTTCCCTGGAGCGGAGGGCTCCGAGCCCAAGTTTGAGGAGGTGAGACAGCCCGGCCCAGTCCGTGGTGAGGGGCCGGTGTGTGCCGGGTGCCGGGAGCCCACGGCGCTGCGGGCCTGCGCACACGCCGAGGGTTAGTCTTCATTCGGAGCCTTGCCCGACCACGTGCATGTGGCACGTGTGCACATATGAGCATGCGTGTGGATCGGCCGGAGCACCCCATCTTTGCGGCCTGCGTATTGGGTTCAGGGTTTCCGGCTTCACGCCCTCTGGGTGCGCCAGCCCGCATACTGTGTGTGTGCCTCTGGGCGAGTCCCTCCCTTTCGGGGCCACCACTCCTACCCACTTCCTCAGTAGGAGGGCGACACTACCTCGCAGGGCGCTGTTGCGGGTGAAGGCGGGCGATGCAGGTCAAGCCCCCTGCCCAGGGACTGGCTCTGTCCCCACAGATGGCACGAGAGATCAAGGCCGCCCTTGCCCGGGACTTCCCTGAGGGGAGCGGCGTCGAGGTCATCGCGGAGCCTGGCCGCTTCTACGCGGCGCCTGTCTGCACGGCAGCAGTCAACATCATCGCCAAGAAGTCTGTGCTGGAACCTGGTGGGCGGCGGGCCAGCCCTGGGCAGGGGCGGGGGCTGGACCGGGGACAGAACGGGCAGACAGCCTGGCTCCGCCCTGGGGGCTACCCAGCAGGAAGCTAGGCTAGCATCGGGCCTTCAGGGGCCGCGGTTTGGAGGCAGAGAGCTGAGCGCCAAGCTCTTCCTTCCCGAGCGGCCAGGGAGGCTCCCTGCTTGCACAAGGCGAGGTCCCGGTGCTGTCCTAGCTGCGTGCCAGCGTGAACCTTCTAACCGAAACCGTGGCGAATTCTCTGGCCCAGCAGGCGGCGACGGCAGGGGTGAAGCTTACAACCAGAATCCACCGACCAGAATCCACAGGGGCGCGCACTCGTGCAATTCCTAAAGGCCATGCCGGCAGCTTTCCTGAGGGCTAGGGTAGTGTCCACAGGACAGCTCCTTGACGACTGAGCCTGACCATCACAGGAGAGGTTTTCAGCATTATTATCATCTGCCAGTGGGCGTGTGCACTGGCCGGAGAGGGACAGAGGGAGAGCAGAAGGCACCCCCATGGGCACGGGCACGGGCATGCTGCGATCCCCTCTCCTCCGTCCCTCCCTCCTTCAGGGATTTCCGACATGCCGCGCGTGTGCCTGGAGCGCACGGGAGCGTTTCTCTTTCTTTCTTTCTAAGGAGAGTAGGTTTGCTCGCTTGCTTGTTTGTTTATTGTTGTTGGCCGTAGGGCATGTGTGCTAACAATAAAGACAGAGAGAGGGAAAATGAGAGAGCACTCCCCGGGCACGGCCGCGGCACAGTCCCTCCTCCGCTCTCCTCTCGGGATTTTGGGCATGCACGCACATGTGCCCCGCGTGCTTTTCCGGCCACCAGACCCAGGACTCAGACTGACCGTGCAGTCGGCCACGTGGAACGCAGCCACCGGAACCTCTGCACCACCCGCAGGCCCCAGGAGAGTTTCCCAATATTTTGTCCTTACTGTTTTGTGTAGGGACGTCAGTGGCTATTCCCATAAAGCAAACTGCAGAAGCCACCTTGACAGTAAAATGCAGACTATCACTAGACCCAGCCTACTGGATTAATGCTCTTTATTCTTTATGTTCTATGGAAGTTCACATATAAAGTTTATAAAACTTATACATTTGACCCCCCTCTTATCCTCTGACGAATGACCAGCCCACGCTTCTGTGAGGGTGAAAGCGCTCACAGCTGATCCCTTCCTCACCAAGCGTCTTGTCAGCAAGCGTGGCACTGCGAAGTGCGTGAGCTCGGCCACCGGGGGCCGGAACCTCAGTTCTAAGCTTTGGGGGCCTGTTATCTTTATGTCGGCGATGGCAGGAGCTGCCCACGACGAAGCAGAGATCACCTGCAAAGTTCGTATTTTATCTGGTCTCTGCTCGGCCAGCGCGTGTTGGATTACGGTTGAGGGAACTGAGGATGTCGAGGGCGTGGTTGGCTGGGGTTCGCCCGGACACAGGTCACGAGTCCTCAGCCCCAGGACTGCCGCTAACCCAATTTTTAGTGTGTAGCAGGGGGCGCACAGTCTGGGGGGCGGGTCTGTGCAGAGCTTTGAGCCGGAGGAAGCAGCCGGCCTGGCTCAGGCTGCTTCGTTTGCCCGCGGCTGGTTCACTTGCAGGGGAGTCGTTCGCTGTCTCTAGGGCTCGATGACCCCAGTGGGGCAGAGTCTGCTGGACCAGCAAGGCCCCAGATGCCAGAGCATCAAGAACACACACAAAAGAGAAGACGACAGTTACATGGGCACTCGGAGGGAGGAAGTGGACTAAGTAGTGCATCCAGGAGGAGCGACCGACATGGAGCCCAGTCCTTGGGTGGCCTCTGGCTTCCTGCTTTGTCCCCACTCACGGGTGCTCAGGCAGCTGACCCCAGGGGAAGGCCAAGGACCTGGGACTTGTGTTCTCGGTGAACCCAAGGCCACCACATTCTCCTGGTGACTTCTGGCAAGGCTCAGTTCCCTCGACGGTAAAGCCGGGACCATCATGAGGACTAAGCGAGTGAACGTACGACAGCCTCGAGCAGGCCCTAAGCGCGGGGCCAGCGTGCCCTTGCCCTCGTGACGCCCGTGGGTAGCAGGTGGCGGTGGGGTCCGGAGACAGACCCTCACCACGCAGGAGAAGAGGGACAAGGAAGGCTCTGGGTGTTGGCAGAGGCTCTGGGCCTGTCCCAAGGGTGCTGGGGTTCAGGCCATGAGGGTCACTGCTGAGCCCTGGCCAAGCACACTTCAGTCCTGCCCTCTCCCACCCCCAGGAGGCTGCAGGAGGCTGGTGTACTACCTCAATGAGGGCCACTATGGCGCCTTCCGCATCTTCCACAGGGACTCTGTCCCCAGGGTGCCCATCGTGGTGAAGGTAAGGGGGCTCCAGCACCTGCCAGGGAGCCCTGCTGCCAGGTGGGGAGGTGAGGGGCTGCCGGCCATCACGGCTCTGTGAATGTCACACCGTGCGTGTCCGAGGGCCCGCGTGTGCACCTCTGCTGACCTGCACTCCCCGCGCGGCCTTTTGATTTTCAGTGTGTAGCAGGTGGGTGCGCAGGTGGGTCTGGGCAGGAATGGAAGTGCACCTGTTGGCTGTGGTGTCCCACGTGCATCTCTGATCACACACACCCTGAGTGTGTCTGTGTTTCCAGAATCCTCCAGGGTTGGAGACGTGGGAGATTCCGCCAGTAGGGGCCTCCAATTCGCCTTCCACTAGAATCACCCGGGAGCGTGCCAGGCCACGCCCAGCTCATTTAAATTAGAATCTCTCAGGACTAGGACCCTGGTATTAGCCTTTGGCTTAAACTCTTCAGATGATTCTGATGTGCCATGAACCTGGAGACCTAGAACTCTGCGTGGTTATTGAATAGAACCTCCCCTCTGTGTAGTCGGGAAACCGAGATCCCGTGCGTGGCTGGATTGGCAGGGCTGGAGTGTGTGGTAGAAAACCAGCTCAGTGAGGACAGCTCTGCTCAGTTCCATGTCCTTCTCAAGGACCGTGCCTGGACACAGCGGCTCTGTGATCCGTTAGTGCCGAGGGGCGGGCGGACGGCCAGGACAGGGTGGAGGGACAGCAGCGACCCTGTGATCCGTTAGTGCCGAGGGGCGGCTGGACGGCCGCTCAGCAGGGAGGGACGGCCGGCTCAGGTGGTGTGGTCGGATGACTGGCTCTTGCTGATGTGACCCCTGAGGGCCCGAGGCTGGCCTAGGTGTGGGGTCGGGGAGTGGCGGCCCTCCTGCTCTGACACGGCTGTCCCTGCAGGACTTCTGCTCGCAGCCACCCCTGCTCCCGTGCACGCTCTACGGCCCCACGTGCGATGCCTTCGATAGGCTCTTCCTGGAGGAGGTGTGGCTGGCCCGGCTGGACGTGGGCGACTGGCTCGTCTTCCCCTCCATGGGCCCTTCAACGGCTTCCTGCCTGCCCCCGTCTGCCACGCCATGGACCCCCAGCTCAGGTGTGGGGAGGGGCAGGTGCTGGGGCTGTCACCAGGAGGTGGCGCTGAGCTTTGGGGTCCCAGGCCTGGAGAATACCTGCCTCCCTGGCAGGACTGTGTGCCTGACGACTGTGACACCGGCCTTTGGGGCTGACGGGGTCACAGACTCCAGGCAAAGCCAAGGTGACAGGCAGCTCTGATGTCTAGCTGCTTTCTCTGGGAAGAATCAGGCAGGCCCATGACCCCATCTCACCCTGACCCCCCTCGGCCTTGACTGCTGGCTGGCTCTCAGGCCCCTCCTCCTGTCCCTTCTCTGCCGGTTGTGGCCCCCTGGGAGCCCCTGCCCGACCCAGGGCTGGCTTGCGGGTAGTGGGTGCCTCTAACATCTCTTGACAGCATGACATTCCCACAGGGGCCTGCTGGAGACAGAGATGGCAGCCCGGGACCTGGCCGGAGAGGAGGGGCCCCAGATGCCTCGGTGTGTTACCTGGAGCGGGGGGAGACAGGGGGGCAGGGGAAGCCCACAAAGAGGCAGAGGTCTGGGTGCACCTGGCAATTGTTAAGGTCCCCAGCTGTTTCTCTCTCCAAAGACTCAAAGCACAGGACAGTCCCTCTCTTAACCAGCTAGTCTGTGTGGGCCGGCAGGCCTGCAAGACTTGCGCCGTCACCCGAGCGCCCCCTGCAGGCTGCATCCCGAAGGCGCGGCACGGTGCAGTTCCTCCCTGATGCTC